TCAATCACTCCAAGGGAGGAGTTGGAGAAGATGTTGGACTCGAGTGTTATCGATGAGTTGTAAAGGATGAAGTAGGGTCATTTGCTGGAACTACATAGCTCAATACTGGCTAGAGTGATACCTGAGCTGGAATGCATGTTGCATGTCTATTTTGGTGTACTCTTGCAATTCAGTATAGCTTTGGCCTTGAGGAGACCTTGGGAGGGTGAGAGACTCAATGACACTGCGACATCCACCAGCTGGACCCTGCATGACTCGCGTCTCAGTAAATATCCAGGCCCCTCAACTGCCCCTCCAGATACTTTGCGAACACAACACCAACACTACTGAAATAATCATGGACGACCCGGAATTCGATACGCAGACTGATCTGCAGACGCAGAGCATATTGCTCGCCGCTGCGAACCACGACACCGCCTCACTCCGCAACCTTCTGCGCAACTCTTCCGCGAACGTCCAAGATTCCGAGACTGGTTTTACGCCTCTGCATGCCGCAATCGCTGCCTGTGAGCCCGACGAAGATGACACAAAACAAGCCAACGGAAACACAAATGGAGAAGCAACGGACGGGGCGGAAGATGCGAAGAACGAAATGGACAGCGCTGTAAAAACCATCAAGTTCCTGTTCGAGAACGGTGCGATATGGAACGACTTGGATTCAAATGGCGAAACACCGGGATGCATCGCGCATCGATTGGGCCTGAAGGAGCTATACGAGCTTTGTGTCGACGCAGGCGTGCGCGCAGAGATGCTGCTGAGTCGCATGGAGCAATACCAACTTCTGGGAGACGATGATTCGGACGAAGAAGACGAGGAGGAAGATGAGGTGGAAGAGGCGGCTGAAGGCGTCGAGGTAGTGGACATCAGCCAGGAAGAAGCGCAAGGCGATGAATCAACCGAGAACCCAAACTATCTCTCTTCCAAACTCACATTCGACCGCGACCGATTACTGGACGATTCCTCGAATGGAGTCATGATGGAATGGGAGACAACGCTTATGCGCAAATCTGCGGAACTACTGGTACCAACAGAAGGGCTTCGCGTTCTGAACGTCGGTCATGGAATGGGTATCATCGACGGTATCTTCCAGGAGAAGAAGCCAAAGGCTCATCACATCATCGAGGCGCACCCAGATGTCATCAAGCGCATGAAAGAGCAGGGGTGGCACGAGAAGCCGGGTGTCATCATCCACGAGGGCCGCTGGCAGGACATTGTACCAGGTCTTGTCGAAAAGGGCGAGCTGTTCGACGCGATCTACTTTGACACCTTCGCCGAAGAATACAAAGCACTACGCGAATTCTTCACGGAACAAGTCATTGGGCTCCTCGACCCTGCTGGTGGTTCTAATGGCGAAGGAGGCAAGTTTGGCTTCTTCAATGGCATGGGTGCAGATCGCCAGATTGTCTACGATGTTTACAACAAGATCGTAGAATTCGATCTTTTCGAGGCTGGTTTCGACACGGAGTGGGAAACGGTTCCTGTACCAAATCTGGATGATAAGGGCGAATGGGAGGGTGTGAGGCGGAAGTACTGGGTACTCAATGAGTACAAGCTCCCGACATGCAGTTTCATCGGATGAGAATAGACAACCCCAGAATTGACTTGAAGATGAACTTCGATATTGAGTAGTATTGGAGATTTGACCAAACAACTACAGCAAAGCCTCCAGGCTCGATGAAGCGATTCTTCCAAACATTACTCCAAAACACCGCGCTGGAAATATGCGACATTCTTCAGTTACCATTCAACCCATCCATGAGACCGTGCATCTGCAACAGCTTATTGTATCGGTTCTGTTGCGGCTCCACAAGCTGCTTTGCTGCCTCCGCTCCTACGACAGGCATCGCCTTCAATCCGTCATTCTTCAACTTCTTCGGAACCATCCTAGGATCCAGCAAGCCGACCTGCACAAGAACAGAAGCTTGATCCCAATACATATGTTCTGAAACCAGCTTGTCACCTCTAACCGCCACGATACTGACCATGGGTATCTCCACTCGCTTGTTCGTTGGCGGCACACCTGGCAGCACCCAGTCGACCTCGTCCGAATGCGTAAAAGACACAACCATCTCGTCCACTATACGATTGACACCCATAGTCCTCGAGACCAACCGTATAGAAAAGTCCTCCACCAAACTAGGCACGAAGTACTCTCCATAGAACTCCGCGAGCTTCTTCCTTCCCACCCCACCCTGCATAGTCGGCAAGATTGTGACATGCGGGCTATCCTGCGTCATGTTCTTCACCACACTCATACTCGCGCGATCTGGGTCGTCGTCCTCAAACCTCGCGTTCCAGTGGCTCAGCGCAATCGATTCAAGATCCACGTTCTTCCCAAATCCTTTCCGTATACATGCCAGCGCTCTCGTCCATGCCAGGTTCGCCTCCACCTCTGAATACGCTCGCGAAGATGGATCCGCAAACCCTGTGGCACACTTCTCGTACCGATACAGCTTCCATTCGCACATATCCGGTCTAGGGCTAGACTGGCTGAGCCCTGCCACATGGACTTGCAACTGATGCGAATTCGGATACATGGTCTTTGGGCTCGGTAACACGCTGGGGTAAAATGCTATGATGGCGCAGCATTTCGCTAACGGTTTCTGTGCTGTTTTCAAGACAACGCTCGCTGCGTCGCCATAAGCTATAATCGCGAAGTTCTCGCCCAGGTTCAAATTTATAGATAGTTCTTTGAGGGACCGGATGTAGGCTGTTTGGTTTTGCGTGTTGGTATCGTAAGGCAGGTATTGCGCATCGTAGCCTTCTTCGCGCCAGGATAGCAGCGCTTTCTCTGGGGCTGGTAGAGCGCATGTGAGATATATGCGCGGCGGACCGGAGTTGAATTTTAGGAAGCCGCCTGTTCCGGGCTTGTTGTCGAAGGACGTTATGGACATATCGGGCGATGTGGAAGCGAGTGTAGCTAGGCAGGCGCTGCCGAAGACGGATTGAGGGCGAACACAATGCTCTTCAATATGCGGGACGGGTCTTCAACGGCTTTTCATTTCTTGTTTCTCTCGATGCGCGTGGCCCTCATTCCCAGCCACATGCGACCAAGTTTCATGAGGAGCTCGGGCTTTGACAACGCGGGATGACGTCATGTTCGAGATTCGGAGTGGGGCACTCGCGTGGCATGTCCGCGACGGCAGGCAACAACGAGTGTTTATCTCGTGCTTATAGAAACACCAATGAGACCTGCAAGATGACTCATCTTCAAGAAAGCCCTTCACTCTTATTTCCCGGTGTATCCACAGGTCCTTCTGTTCCTCTCACTTACGAACCGCAATGACCAAATTCCCGATTCACGTTCAGCTCCACAGCCGCTACAACGTCTTCGACGCATCAGGGAAGCTACCATTCAGTGTAGTGTTTGGTCTTTGTCGGTTACAAAAGTCTGATACAGACCCTCGATCAATACTTATTGACACAGTCGGTTCAGTCTTCGATGTGCCTTACGCCATAGCGCATGGCCTGTTAACCCTGCATGAAGAACGCCCCGGGGAAGCTAGGCAATGGGTTGAAGTGGATGTAAGCTCGCTTGGAGAGGTTGATGCGAACAATCGAGGTTGCATTTCAGTTCCGTCCCGGGTTCATCGAACAAAGAGCTGGAGACATGATATCACGGTATATCTATGCGCTATTGATCTCCAGGGCGTGTTAGCGTCAGTTTTGAAGCCGGGAAAGAGATACAAAATAAAACTCGCAAGTCGCGACCTTGGAGTCAAGAAATGGACATACAGTAACCAAGAGGATTTTGCCGACAGCGACGGAGATGGCGAGGAAGTGAGACTAGTCAACAGCTGGCGCCACGGTAATGCAGCTTTCAAGGTCGTCGATGACCTAAAGTTTCCACCGCGACTAGTGACGAGCATGTGTCTCGTCAATGATATATCGTTGGAAATCACTGTCGTTAATAGTGGCTCCGAGACTGTGACCGTACAGTCACGGGGCCAGCAGAAGTTCCTCGTTCCATGGGGTCCTTCGGCTCCAGAAACCGATACCCTCGACGGTCGCCGCAGGGTCATTGATCAGTCAGAGCTGAATTACCCGCCCACATCAAGTCTCTTCATCGTCAATGTGGCGACTGGTGAAATGATGCACAGGCAACAGACAAGCATCTGCCAATTGCGGCATGCAAAGACCGACCTGCGAGCCAAGATGGACGAATTAGTCACATTGAAACCTGGAATCCCTTTAATCAATTCTTTCGACATGAGTACGATATTCCGAGGCCTTGAGGACGGCCGATATAGAATTCGAATACGTTCAAAGGGTTGCACATGGTGGTGTGGTGAGCTGGAGAAGGAAGAGGGAGAAGATGACAGGGTTCCCGCGCGCTTGTGGAAGGGTTTCACTGTTCCAATCATGCTGGCTTCAGAGGATGAGTTGGACATAACCATCAAGGATGGGAAAGTAGATGGAAAGGTGTGAGATATGGTCGGTGGCTTCGCTGGTGCTAATGCACGCACGCTGACGTCATGCTGGATATGTCGCGTGGCATACGCGTGGCAGCATCGTTACTGACCAAGCGCGACATCAACTCGTACAACTCCATATGCTTGCTATGGACCCGCGACAGAATACTCCAGTAGTGATGGAACTGCACGAAGAGGTAGAGACGGCCGATTTCGGACCGGCGGGGCTTTTTGATTCGACATGACGCCATGTCGAAAAGTCCCCGTTTTACTAATCGACGTTGCCGCCGCGAGCCACCCTCCAAAGCTCCAGAACACATCTCAGATACCTGATCGTATTCTGAAAACCTCACAATGGCTTCATTCTTCCCTCGTGCAGCTTCTCGAGCTCTTCGCGCTTCGGCGCGTCCTGCCCTGCGGGTACAGCGTCCTGCTGCCCCGCTACTCCGTCGCGGGATCGCGCTTCCAGCTGAGCAGCCACGACTGAGGCTGGGATCCATTGGTATGTAGTGTTTGGAGTATATCTCAGATCAACGGTACTGACTACGCGCAGCGCCTAACTTCCAGGCGAAGACCACCCATGGCGACATGGTAAGCTTCTCCGACGAATGCTGCGCAACGCATGCTGACCTCAAGTAGGACTTCCACAAGTTCTTGGACAACAAGTGGACTATCCTCTTCAGCCACCCTGCCGACTTCACACCCGTTTGCACGACTGAGCTTGGGGCCTTTGCGAAGCTCAAGGATGAATTCGATGCGCGCGGCGTCCAGATGATTGGCTTGGTACGCGTCCATTGGGTCATTGACGGATCACGATCAGTCTACTGACCTTGCTGCAGAGCGCCAACGATCTGAGCTCTCACGACCAGTGGATTGCCGACATCAACGAGACCTCCAACACCACCGTGCAGTTCCCCATCATCGCCGATGCCGATCGCCACGTCGCTTTCCTTTACGATATGATCTCGCAAGACGACCTCGATGCGCTCCAGAAGAACGGCGGCATTGCCTTCACGATCCGTTCGGTTTTCATCATCGACCCAGCGAAGAAGATCCGCCTTACAATGTCATACCCCGCGAGCACCGGCAGGAACACCGCCGAGGTACTGAGAGTCATCGACAGCTTGCAGACAGGAGACAAGAAGGGCATCGCTACACCCATTGACTGGCAGAAGGGCCAAGACGTCATCGTGCCACCCAGCGTCAGCACTGAGGATGCCAGGAAGAAGTTTGGCGATGTCAGGGAGGTCAAGAAGTACCTGCGCTTCACCAACGTTGGGCAATAGACGGACAGCAAGCGGTGGTGTAAGATAGATCATACGAAATCGACCTTGTAGAGTTGATCTTCTTCGGCCCTTTGGCCCGACAAACATACTCTTCCAGCCTTCATCGCGCGATTACGGTACCGCAAGCCTGAATTCGAACTAATCAACTTAATGCTACCCGGGGTTCAAGCACTAGCGGTTCGCCTACTGCCTGTCGCGGGTTTTAGTTTTCAGACGCCAATGAGGTCTGTGAAGCTCTTTCAAACGATACTGTAAGTATATGACCTTTACAAGCACTACAACACGTACAATAAAACGTCTAGACTTCAAAAGGCTAAGTAGAGGTCGGGGGTGGGGCAGGTCGCTTGCACTGCCCGTTGCACTGCATTGGAGTCCGACTGCGACCGAGTGCCGATTTATTCGAATTCATGTATTCGACACCGCCTGATCCTGCGATGCAAGAACTGTCGATTTTCGTACGCAGGTGATTGTATCGTGCGGCCTCGCGCGCAGCACCGTGTAGCCCATATAAGACTAAAAGCTCCAGCAACTTCAGGCTCTCTACCAACTTACTGCTAAACCTTCTGAACTCGCTTTGCATCGCCGTCTTCCTCTTCTGGTATTCGCTGTCATTGACTGCACCAGTCTGATAATCAGTTGTGGCTCTAGCTTATCTAGAAGCTGGAGGGTTTGACCGCAGGCCAATACCATTAAGAGTCATGCCTCCCCAGGCAACCGCTTGTACTTCATCCTGTGCGGACTCAGTGCATGAAAGATACTAACAACATCGTCTAGCACCCCTCAGTTCGTCCCCAATGAGCCCCGAGATACCGATCGTACAAGACTCGCAATGGTCGAAAGAAGCAATATTCGCTTTATTCGGCATCGTCATCATGGTACTATTGCCTTTCTTCGGGCTCGTACTAAAGATATGCATACATCAGTGTATAAAGTCTACACCTGAACGAGTACTTTGCAAAGGTTTGTGGCTCAATGGCGTCGAGATCGGGCACGACTAAGGAGAAATGATATAGATACCAGGAAACTTCATGCGGCTGCCAGGGGATCATCGCTAAGAAAACAGTGGAGGTTCAAAAGAAGTCGAGGCAATACCATCGTCGTCGTTTGCTAAAGGGAAGTATGACACACTAAGCAGGTTTCCCAGTCTAGTTGCAACCACAGTGCTCCTACGTAATTAGGCTGACCTCTGGACAATTACGAATGGCTACGGTTCTCGATTAACAATGAAACTCAGATTCAAACTACCCACAACTGCATCCTGACAATCGCTACCATCCGTCTACGTATCGCTCCAGCGTTTCCCACTTCCAGATGACAGTCGAAACAGTCATGAAGTGTGCGCCATTTCTCGGATCCTACAATAAAGCTTGCCCCACGGTACCTTAATATGTTTCCGGTCTCGACCACGCGCCCTAAGCTACACCGAGAATACGTTTAAGATGTTCGGTCTGGCTCTGCGATCCGCTAATTTGTGCAAAAGATTCAACAAAATACTGGGTATGCGTTGCTTTCAATTGTGTTCTGATTGCATAGACTTGTCCCTCGTACTTTGTGACAAGGAACCCGATGTCGTTGAAGTCATTTCGTGATTGTCTCGTGGAATATGCACTCAGCTTGCTGGCCAATGCATTCAAGAGATCAATGACAGGGAACTGCATCTGCCCTGCGTTTGTGTTGAATGTCATAGGTTCCGAAGAGTTCTGAACGTGGTCTGGGGCACCATGAGAGCCTGTGGAAGAAGCTCTCAGTTTACATTGCACATGTACCCGCGAGGAAATACAAGACTACACTTACCGCGAAAGATTAGATCTGCGCCCACCCAGAGTTCTGGAACACCGGGATTCAGTTGGCCGCCGACCAAAACGAAAACTCTCATCACGCCGGACGTGGGGCCAGCAGGGCGACGGATCCTAGGACCTCAGTTTGTCGCTGGACAGTTGGATGAAGTATTGGCTTACTCACCTGGTCTGCACGGAAAGAACCTCGATAAGACGTAGCATTGTGCACCCGACAGCAATGTCAACGTCGCGAGTCTCGCGATCGCTTCCTCGAAGCCTTAGGGCAAACCCTCCCATAAAGGCGTAAGGAACTTCGTTGGCTTGGAATACCCGAGACATGAAGTCTGCTGCAGATACTAACTGCTTGAGATCAGCACGGCTTGCCGGTCTGAGCAAGGCACCCAGTTGCTCGTGGGTATACGTCCCCGGCTGTTGTTGAGTGGAACGGGAACGAGACATGGCGACAATATGGGAACGTTCGATCGGATGAATGTGATATGAAGAGGATATTGCACAATGATATACAGAACAAGGTCTACCTATCTAAGAGACGTGAAATTGCCAATGGCTGGTCTGAAGATTAGAAGAGAACATTGGGTCGTTTTTATATGCAGTTCGAGTCACCGGCGGGCGAAATTGACTCAAAACGGTGACTCAAAACTGGAAGTGCGCGCCAACTTAGCCATCGAGAATCCTGAAACAAGCTGTGTAATCCTGGCGCGAGATTCTTTCTCTTGAAAAGAGCTGTTTGGCTTGAGCGGATGTCTTTTGATCATAGCGCGTTAGGCGGGGCCGAACGGCGTCTATGCCGTGGTCGACAGTCGCCATATTAGCACGCATGAAAGCCACAAGGTGACCATCAAGCTACCTAGGTAGTTTCTTAGTCGATTGAGTATTTGAGGGGCGCTATGGGGCACTTCATGGCGCTTCGCTAGCATCTCGGAGGAGGAAACCGTACCCAGGCGGAATTACGTCTCTGCTGCGCGCAACAATACTGGGCGATTGAGCCTTACACCCTCCCAGGCCTTACCAAGTTCAATTATCAAACACTCAGTAGCCACTTAGGAAACCCTAGACTTTTATGACTTGTCACGTCGGTGCAAACCAGGTCTGAAATCTAAGTTGACTCAAGACAAGCTTCGATCGCTCCCGATGATCTGGAGTGGTGGTTCGACACGCTAGCATATTTCTCTTACCCGCCAGAGCTTCTTTTTCTGCCGGAGAGTTTTCATGTGAGGTCGGCGCGAGTGTGCTCTGAAGTCTTGTTGTGTGGCACAGCAGCGGTTAACTGCGCCGCGGCGAATCGCCTCCTTGTCCACTGGTGTTGTAGCTCAATAAGAGTCTGGCCGAACATCAACCGAAATCAACTTTTATTTTTGGTTCATTCAAGTTGGAAGAGACTTTGTGGGCAGATCATAGTGGTGATGGCGATCGTAGATTGATACCTAGTTAGGTATTTAAGACAGACGAACTCCCCAAACCCGTTATCGTCAACTTCGAATTTTAAATACAATATTGACCACACTTCTTGTCTATTATCTTTGCAAAAGCTTTAATTACTGGTTCAATATTGATACGCATCCATCACTAACAACATGTTCCAGTAGCCTGGAATAGGAGTGCAGCTGCTGACCTACTTACTCACAGTGTTTTCTCAGTCATCAAACAGCGTTTTTTTGTAGTGTATACAGCCGTAGTACTTGAAGTTAACGCAGAAAATTATGCATTGCTACCACGTCTGCGTCCGCGTCTTACGCGTCGCACCTCTCTCTGGTCCTCGGATCCGGGGATGTCCGACCACGGAACCGCGTGGCCAAGTCCGCCCCTGCCAATTCCTCCCCAATACGACGCTCTTTGGTTCGGACAATTTCAATCCAAGTCTCTTTCAGGTTGATGGGTTTAATTGCAAGTTCCCGGAGACACGAGGTGAAGGTGAGTGGAACTGAAGCTCGAATCTTCTCATTCTTTCGCAATACCCACGCTAAATCATTCTCGCCATCAAGTTTCAGATGATCTAAACCCCATTGTTCAGTCAGATTCATGCCATCTATGAGATCCGTGAGTGCGACCATGTCGTTGGTGTCGAGAAGACTCTGTGCGAACACCTCTAGAGTTGGGTACGGCAGATCCATTTGGCTACGCTCGATGTTGGCAGGTATGCAGTCGATATGCGCGTCGTCTGAGGGGATCAAGGTAAAGCACATTGCTTTGCCTCGGATTTTGAATCGTGGGAAAGTGTGGAGTAATGATTGCATACCCGGTGGGCGAGGTGGATAGGTTTCGTAGGTATCGACTGAACTCAGAAGTGCAGACGCATCTTTAAGCTTCTCTGTAGGCACACACACCTCCCAGTCCTAGTAGTTTCAGTCAGCAATGCAACAATTAAAACAATGTAGACAACGGATCGTCAGTTCGAGCTTACCCTGCGTCCCCTCGCGGCGCCGTAATAGATCAGAGCGGATATGCCAACTATACAGCAGGTAATGCCAGATCTCTCCAGTAATTGTATAACCTGTAGAATCTCCAAAGTGCCGTTGCCCCCAAAACTTGGATCCTCATCGTCGAGGTTTCGATTCATGAAAGCGGGGTCGTTGAACTGCTCGACGGGGATCGGTTTAGACCACTGAATGACATCTTGCTTCTCCTCCTCCGTCGTGTTGTGTTCCATGATAAGCTTTCCTATACAAGTCGGGGATCTTATGGGAAGGTGGGTTGAAAATAATTAGAAGGGGTTATGGCACACGCGCTGGCTCTCGTCTATTCGATCGCGGATTCAAGAAGGCGGTCGGTGATAGGGCACTAGAATCGCAAGTGAGAGATGCCTGTGTTATAGCGTAGCGAAGTGAACTGCACTATGTGAAGGTGATGCCTGTGTCGGACGCGCGACCGCGGGGCGGTTCGCTAGCATGGCAGGCGGCCCGCCCGTACCCGCGAATCCCCACACCACAAGTGTACCTACGTAGCCAGCAATGGAACGCCTTGCAGGCTCAACACACACACACTGCGCAACACAATAAGAAGCCCGAACATTAAAGAAGCCCTATTCTGGAATCTGTATAAAGGGCAGTTTCTTATGTGATTAAGCATTTCACGAAGAAGGTTGTAAAGCTGACCTTGCCAACCAACCTTGGAAGCATTTGGCTTTCCCCGTCAATGGTCTGCTATGTGTATGCACATCTCGTAGCGACAACTAACAAGACTCAGCATGCTCTAGGCGAGACC